GACCCACGGCGCCCCTAGAGGACAGAGTGGAACAGCCCCATTGGGTTTCCAAGGTTACTTCCATAGTGATGTTGTTGTTGTTATGTACTGTTGAGTCGGACCTGACTCATAGCGACCCCTCCTTGGGTTTCCAAGGCAGTATCACTATGGAAATAGATTGCCCCATCTTCCTTCTGAGGAGTAGCTGGTGGGTTTGAACCGCCAGCCTTGTGGTTAGCAGTCAAGTGTCTTAGGCACTATGCTACCAGAGCTCCCCACATTGAAAACCCCAGAGGGGTCACTATGAGTCGGAACTGATTTGATGGCACTGAGTTTGTTTTTTGTGTTTTGGTTTAATCTCTATAGAAGCAGATTGCCTCTTCTTTTTTCCTTGGAATGGCTGGTGGTTTCAAACCACTGACTTTTTAGTTAGCAGTGAAGTGCTTTAACCACTGTGCCACCAGCACTCCTTCGTAGATGGGAAGAGCTTTGTAAGTCTGGGAGGTCCAATTAGGAGTCCACGGGGCTGAGGGGCCTGTTAAAATGGAGATGCTGGTTCGGCAGGTCTAGGGCAGGGCCGGTACTTTGCATTTCTGCCGCCACGGTGACGCTGCTGGTCGGGGGACCCCAGGTGCCGTACTGAGGAGCTAGAGAAACCCCGGTTTACCCATCTACTTGGCAGACATTTCTAGAACACAAACTAGATCGTCACAGGAAGGAGGAAACAGTAGCAGGGATCGCATCCTGGGCTCGAAGCCTCAGTGCCGGGTCAGTGGGGGCCAGGGCCGGGCCTGGCGGCATGGCTGGGAACGGAGCCCTGGGAAGCCCAGGGTGGCTGAGGGAGCGGCTCCCAGAATTCTGCCACATCCCGGTGGTCACAGCTCACTGCTGTGGCACTGATCCCTAAAATCAGTCATTAGCTTGCAGATGGACCATTAAGCATTCAACAGTGGACGAGCCAGTGTGAGGGGCCCTGCCGGGACTGGAACCTTCTGTGGCCTGGCTGCGGCCTTGCCTCAGTTTATTCCCACACCTTTGGCAGATGGGTGTGGAGGGAGGTGGTTAAACTGCCTGGAGGTGCCCTCTGGAGCCCTGGCCTGGGCCAGACCGTGCATCCCTCAGGGGTGGGACTTCTCGCCCACTCCTCCTCCTTCTCAGGGAAGGAGACTTGTGACCACATGGAACCTTCTGTACCCTCCAGCCCGCTGGCCGCTCACCACCTCATGTCCTCAGTGTCCCCAGACCAGGAGTCGGGGCCTGGGTGCCTTCTGACCCTCCTCTGGTCTGGTTAGTCCTCAAGACTGGGCCCACTTCCCTTCAGTGGGCATTGGTAACCTGCTCCGGGGGTTGTGCCTGGCACAGGGACGCTGGCACCAGGTCTCTTTCCCCACGATGGGGTGGGCGGTCGGTTCCTGCTTCTATGAGTGGGTCCGAGCTCTTTCGTCTCCCCACTGCCCTGAGGGCCTGAAGCACCACTCGCGGCAGCCGTGGGCCCCAGGTCCAGCGTGTCTCCCTCAGCCCTGCCACCGTGCCCCGGGGCTTTCCCACCACACCCCTCAGTCGGGCCACCTGCCTCTGAAGGCAGCCCCCTCCCGGCCTGGCTCGGACACTGGCCCTGCAGGGCCCTTGCCCAAGTTCCACCCTGCTCTCAGGCACTGTGTGAAGGCAGACCCCAGAGGCCCACTCAGGGGTCACCTACTGGAAAGGCCTGTCTGTGGCCTGGGAAGTGAGGTGGTCGTGGAGGGAAGGGGCTCTTCTGGTAGGATTCCAGACAGTACCGCATCAGCTGGCTCCCCAGTGGGAGGCCTGGGCGGAAGCTCCAATTGCCACTGTCCCTGAGCAGCAGCAGAGGGACAGGGTCAGAGGCTGAAGGTCAAGGACCTGCCTTCCCACCACAGGCTGGGCTGTGTGTCTGGAGGCAGGCCCAGCTCTCAGCCCTGGTGACAGGTGACTCGCTGGTCCTGCAGCAAGAGTGAGGCTCAGAGGCGGGCTGGCGGAGGCCACACTTGCTGGCTGGCTCACTCGTCGGGAGGCTGCAGACTTCTGGCCACACCTCTATGGTGGCAGTGGGTGGTGTGGCCCTCCCTCTCTGTGGGCCACTCACTCTGTGGGGGTGGCGTCTGCCCCCTTCCCCTGATGCTCGTCCGTCCCTGGGGCATGGTGCGGGTGTGAGCAAGGGCAGACTGCATTTGGTCTCAGACAGACCACAGCGAGCCGGGCTGAGAGCAGGGGGAGTTTATTTCATAAGGAGTGAGGCGCTCTGGCTGGCGGTCCAGTCCGCCTGGCTCTGAGCAGCATGGGGGTCAGGGCAGGGGGCATGAGGGCACCTGGGGAGAGGGCAGGGCGGCAAGTTCCAGCAGGGCAGTCAGCCCCTAGGCTGCCCAGGGCCCAACCCCGAGAGCAGCCTTGAGCCCTACCTTCCGGGGTACAGGGGTGTGGCCAACTCAAGAGCCCAGGACAGGGAGGGGGACCTCCGCGGCAGACTGGGGAGCCCAGAAGCCCCATGACCCTGAGGAGAGGGGAGTGGTGCCAGGCCAGGACATTCCTGAGCTCTGCCCCTGTGGGCAGAGGGGGCACAAATATGTGTGCACATGTATAGTGTATGTGCATGTGTGCGACGTATGTGTGTGCATACATGTGCACATGTGAGTGCAGGTGGGTACATGTATGTATATGCACATGCGTGCATGAATGTGGTGTGTGCATGTGCATACGTGTGCGCATGTGAGTGCATGTGTATACGTGTGCACATGTGGAGGCATGTGAGTGTGCGCATGTGTGGGTGTACCTGTAGGTGCATATAAGTGTGCATGTGAGTGTGGGTATGTGGCTGGCATGCACAGGTCGTGACCATCAGTCAGGTTGCATCCATTCATCTAGGGGCTGAGGGACAGGGGTGTGGGTCCCAGGCGCAGGTGATGTGGAGGCAGGCAGGACCTGGCTGTTGGGGGCTGAGGGCCGGGGTGGCAGGTAGGCTGGCCATGGCAGGTGGAGCACAGGGTACAGGCCGGGCAGGCCCCTCTGGCTGCTGAGCCTCCTCGTGAGGCCGGGGGCTGAGCAGTTCTGGGGGGGTCAGGGCTGCTGCTAGGCCACTGTCTGGCGGCTGAAGAGGTCGAGGGTGAGGGAACTGAGGAAGGCTGGGATGCTGTCCTGACGCAGCAGGTGCAGCTCAATCAGCTCGCCCACCGTGCGGGAGAACTCTGTCTCCAGAAGCTGCATCTTGGCCCCGGAGGGTCCTGTGGCCTGCGGGTGGAGGGAGACACAGAAGGAAGAGCTCAGCGCAGTGGGGAGCCAGGCAGGCCTCTCCACCCCTGCCCCTGCCAGCCCTCCAGCAATGGGGCCAGGGGCCCGGGACCTTGAGGGCTGGCCTGCTGGGGGCGTGAGCAGCACAGGAGCCCACCAGCTGGGCGCCCCTCACACAGCCCCGCCCAGGCCTGTCTGACACGTCTAGGCACTTCCCAGCAGGCAATGCTGCTTCTTGAGGGCAACTTCACGGCCCCGGAAAACACCACGTGCGTCCTCCAGATGTGAAACACGGTCACTGCCCAACCCCCCACCCAACAATCCCGCTCCCAGATAGATGTGTGCCCCGGAACGCAGAAAGACAAGCCAACGGTGGACACAATGCAGGCGTCCGTCAACAGATGACGGACAAGCGCCAAATGGAACACACACACAGGGCCGTCACTCAGCCATAAAGCATGGTGCTCTGAGCCCCGCTGGGACACGGATGGACCCTGACGGACCATGCTGACGCTGTACGATCCCGCCCACTTGAAACGTCGAGGGGGCAGATGAACAGAGACAGTGTCTCTCGGGATGCCTGGGGCTGGGGTGCAGGGCTTCTTGTGGGGTGATGACAGTGTCCTGAGATGAAGTGGGGGGAGAGCTGCACAACTCTATGAAAACACTAACCCCACCGAGCTGTGTCCACGCAGCGTGCCTCGTGGGGCACGTGGATCACCCCCGAGAACTCGGTTTGTGTTTCTCTCTCTCCACTGAG